TTCTTCTTCTTCTTCTTCTTCTTCTTCTTCTTCTTCTTCTTCTTCTTCTTCTTCTTTTTTTTTTTTTGTACTAGGTATTGAACCCTGCTCTACCACTGAGCTACAACCCCATTTTTTAAATTTTGAGAAAATTCACTAAGTTGCCCAGGCTGGCCTTGAACTTGCATCCTCTTGCCTCAGCCTCCTGGGTTACCAGGATTATAGTCCTTTGCAATTTTGAGAGTCCAGGACTCTTAGCCATCCCTACCGGAAGTGGGTCCATACCTTCCAGAAGGGGGACTATTTAAAGGCTGGGGGTAGCAGGGGAGATGCAGTGCCTCTGGAGCCCCACTTCTCCTGCCTGCCTCTGCACCCAAACCTCTCCTGGAGGCCACAGAGTCATGCAAAAAGGAGCCCTGCCCCGGGACCAAGTGGCACCTCTGCTGGGCAAATCACTGCCTCATCCCCTTGTTTCTGCTTCGGCATTGGCTCTCGTGTGTATTGATGTGCAAGGGCCTGTGTGCTCTTGGCATTGACTGGGTATTATTTATGGGCCAGGAAATTAAGAAATGCTTTTAAAAAGTGCATTTGGCAGATATATGATCCGGCAATTCCATGGCCCTGTTGACCTGGCCCAGAGACAGCGCAGTGCTCCCCTTTCCCTTTCTTGAAGCCCTCCTGGAGTCAGGCCAGCTCAGGAAAAGCCCCAGGAAGAGGAGAGGGGGGAAGACATGGTCAGAACAGCCAATGTCTTGGAGGAACCATGGAGAAGCCCCCTGAGACTGCCAGCCTTGGGGGACAGGGGCAGCAGAGAAAGTCCCCCTTCTCACATCTCCCACTCACTGGTACCTCCAGGGACCAGGGTCTACTCTCCTCCACTCAGCCACAGATGCCGCTGGTCTTGGGGCTGTGAGGCAGCTGCCTTCCATCCACGGCTCTGCTGCTGGCCACTGGCCACTAAGAGACTCAGAGCCGGCCACCTGTTAGTCCCTCATCTCTGGTCTTCTTCAATTCATGGTCCAACTGGGGAGAGTGGTAGCCACAGGAAGAGGAGGTGTCGCCTCATCTGGCCATGTGGGCCCAGGAGTGTGGGTGGTGTCTCCCCCTCTTGGGGGAGGGGGTGCTCAACTGAGTAAGGGGAGGATGTTTGGACCAAGCAAACCCATGTGCCAGGGATTGGGGTTCTTTCCAAAATGACAGTGATCAGTGACCAGGAACACATCGTGCCAGGGTGTGGGGAGCAGCGAAGGACAGCCCAAGTCCCCCCACAGTGGACAGCTCTCCTAGGACAGTAGGGTGCTGGGGGACAGAGTCTACACCAGGCTCCTTGAGCCRCTGGAATAGCGGCGCCGATGCAGCAGGGAGCCCGGTGGGCAGAACTGGTGTGGGTGGTTGTAGGGGGGTGGGGGCGGGGGCAGTGGAGGCTGGTGGATGACCTTGACCGGGGAGCCTGGGCCGCCCAGAGGTGTGGAGCCACAGGAATCAGAAGAGGATGAGGCGTAGCAGGAGAGAGCCTGGCTCAGCAGGGGCTCCATGCGGGCCAAGCAGGGCTTGTCCAGGACAATGACCTTGACAATTTGCTGGCACTGCACCAGGGTGCCTGGGGGCGTGGGTGGCGGTGGCAGCGGTGGGGGCTGCTCTCTCAAGGGGCTAGGCTGCAGGTCTGGCAGCTGCGGTGCTCCCCTCTCGGCCCCCAGCCCGGGGTGGTGCTGGGACGTTTGAAGCCTGTTGTGAATTGACACCTAGTTTAGAAACAGCCAGAGAAGCATGAAATGTTACAAGACTAATTCCCAGCTGCTGGGACTGGCTACCCTGAGCCTCCCTTTGCCTCCCTCCCTCACTCTTAGCCCTTTCTCCCGCGACCCATCTCTCTACCCAGAGGAAAACTGGTTCTGACTCTGGCTCTTGTGCAGCGGGGACAGAGGAGGTAGGAGACCGTCCACAGGCAACCATAGCACTCCAGGCCTCCGTTTCCTCATCTGTGAGATGGGTTCTGCCTGAATCTGCAGTCAGATTTCGTGGACTTGCTGGGAAGCTCTAGGTCAAGGGCTGACTCCTTCCTAGGGCCCTCTGTACTGACCAAGCTTGAAAGGTAGGGGTCATGATCTGAATCTGCTCAGGGCCTCCCAGACACTGTGTAGACACCGTCCCGGATGGGGCATAGGGGCAGAGCCTGGTGTTTTGGATTCTTCAATCCCATTTCCTCTCTCCAGCTTCGCTGAAGAGGAAGCCTCATGGCTGTTGACCTAGAGGTGCCCCAACTTCAGAATGCTGGGGACCCTGAAAGGGGTGTTCTGGGCCAAACATCCTCTTAGACTCCTCAAGCCCATGACCCTGAGTTCAAGAGCAACCTAGGCAGCCAAGGGCAGAGTCAGGCCCCACCCTCCTTTCCATCTCAATCTGGGCTTTGCTACAGAAGGGGAGAGGCTCTCCTGCTTATCCCTTGGGTGGAACAGGAGGAGGTGACCTATATGGTAAGAGGTCAGTATGAACTTCCCGGGGCCTCATTCTGCTAGCAGGGCAAGGGGGCTAGAATTTTCTGGAAGGAGAAGGATTTAATTCCTTATCTTGTTCCATGCCACACCCAAGCCCCCAACCTGGGCCTTTTGAGCCCTGTGGGTGGAACCCTTCCCCTCTCTGAGGAGGCTTCCTACTGGGCTGTCAGCTGTCCCTGGGCACCACCTGGGGCCAGCTGCTCACGGTGCAAAGGAGGACATTGAAGCTGCAGGGAGGGGGACTTATCTCAGGCCTAGACTGGGTGGTCCCATCCCAAACTCTCTCTGAGCCCTCACCCAGCATTCCCTAGTTCTGTTGATTGCTAAAGGTATAATTTCAGGGATCCCTTTTCTGGAAACAGGTCCTCCCAGTGGGTTGCTTCCCTCTCAAGRCTCCCCACCTGTGCCTTCCCCTCAGGATTCTCAGGCCCCACTGCCACCATCAGCACCTGACAGGCTTTCTCCTTCACTCTCAGCTTCCTGCTGCCCAGTCCTAGGCTGACTGTCCAGGTCTGAGATCCCCCTAAACAAATGGAGGTGCCTCCAGACACATGGCAGGAGAGGGCACAGCTAGGGGCCACCCTTCCTCTCACGGAGCCTCTGTGGTCCTCACTTCAGCAGAAGCCACTGCCGGAGGTCATGGGCACCTTCCCCCACCTGCTGGTATTTTGAACTATTCCCCAGGAGATAAATGGCTTGAGAACAGCCAAGCTAAGCTCAGGGCCCATCTGCCTCCCAGTCCCCACCTTCACAGTGCTCCCTCTCAGGGAGAACACCTGGTCACTCAGCCCAGACCCAACCTTCCTGGTCCTCCTCCTCGGCTGCTCCCAGAAGGCTGGAAGCTCTGGGCTTCTTCCAGCGTCTCCCTCCACCTCCTACTTTAGTTCTCCTCTGCTGCACGGCAGCCCCCACCCCAATCTGGGTCCTTGGTTTTTGATGGTCAGTAAGTGAAAAGCAGGACGTGACAGCAAAATTCCCTAGCATTTTAACCCCCTTCTCACCTCCCTGCTCATGAAAGAAAGAGAAGAGACAGAGAGAGGATGGAACATGAGTAGCAGCTCAGAATAGCTCAGAGAAGATGGAGAAGCGCCTGCCAGAGGGCTCGGCCAGGCAATGATGGAGGAGAGGGCAGAGGACGAGAGCTTGGGGTCCAGCCGAGAGGCCATGGGGTAGAGAGGCTGCCCTCTGTGCAGGGGAGCAGAGGCTGGCAGGGCCCTGGAGCTAGCTGAGGGGTAGCAGCCTTGCAGATAGCCACATGGCCCCTAAGGGCAGGCAGGAGGGGAGATAGGGTGTTCAACTGGGGTCTTCCCTGGGCAGCCGGGGCTAAGGCTGGGGCAGGGCTGGCGCAACAAGCCGGTAGGCTGGTAACTGGGCGTGTTTATCTGCAAGGCTGAGAATGGGCAGCTGCAGGAAGATGGGGAGAGGAGGGTGGGGGATGGAATACCCACCCTGGGGGCTGGTCAGCTGCTGGGGCAGGAAGCTCCTCCGAGTAAAGGTGCCTCCTCCAGACACACGTGTGTGGGGGGTGGGGGCCAAGGGGACAGAGAAGAAACTGATCTCCCCAGGACATCCTGTGGCTTCCCAGGACTTGGGCAGACTCCAGGTGGGGCTCCTCCCTTATTGAGCTGGGTGGGAGCCTCCACTTTGAAGTGGGGGTTGGGAAAGGACCATCTGTATGAGCAGTTAGAGGTCCCCAGGGGCCTGGCAGCAAAGGAGTAAGGTTGGGTCTCACAGGGGTGTGAGGATCCAGTGTGGAGAGCTGGGACCCAGCAACGTGCCAGGGCCACTCCATGGTCCCCCACAGGGGAGACACCCTGGGACTGGCAGGGACCAGAGGCTACTTCCCCAGTCCCTTCCTGGGTGGCTTAGGGAGGGACACCACCCTCTACCTGCAACACAGCTGGTCTTCATATTCATCAGCTCTCCCCCCAGGAAGACCTCTAAGATGACCCAGCCCAAGTCTGACTCCTTTTTTCCTGTGCACATCACTGTCCCCGGGGGCCAGCTTTCTGGGGGACCAGATGTTCCGAGGAGAAGCTCCTCCTCCTCCCTTGCTCCCACTCTCAATTCTCCATCTTTCCTAGGAGGTATCCAAAAGGGCTGGTCTGCCGGAGAAATGTTCACTTGGGGGATTTAATGGGTGACTCTCTAGAGGGAACCCAGGCTCCCTCCTATGGGGATGGAGGGCCTGAGAAGGGAATATTGGGTTCTCTAACACAGTAAACACTGGAGAGCCATGGAGAGTCTGCTGGGGAAGTAGATACGGGCACAGCATGGGTGGGGGGATGCGGGGGTGTCATGGGCTTTGTTTCCATGGGGCTGGTCTGGGAGCTCGGCCTTGGAGGGCAATGGGCAGGGAGGGCTGGGCTGGGGAGTGGGCAGAAAGTGCTTGCAGCTTAACTGGGGGCTGGAAGAGTGGCATTACCCAGGCTAGCAGTAACTTTTAATTGTATCTCTTGAAATTGGTAAAATGGTGAGTCGGGCTGGGGAGGCATTGATTAATACCTGAGAAGAGAAACAACAGAGACGGTGAGAAGAAGGACAAGAGGGGCACAGACTCACTCACCTGGACACAACCAGGCCTCCACTTACCTCCCCTGAGCTCTCCACCGGCTTCTCCCCCAGCGCGGCTTCCCTTTTGGCTTTGAATGCAAACAGCATAGGCTCATTCTCTACCAGTCCCGGAGGGAAACCTGGCCCACCCTACTCCTCCCCTCCAGCATCTCTCTTGTTGGCTGTCGAGGGCAGCAATACCCTAAGTGCCATCTGTGCAGATGACAGGCTGCACTGTCCAGGTAAGAATCTCCATGCAGCAGGAACTCAGTTCTACCACTCAGTGGCTGTGTGATCTGGGCAAGCTGCTGCATATCTCTGGGCCTCCACACACTAGCAGAGGTCTGATGTTGACATTGTGGAGTCTAATTCCCCATAGTCAAAGCCTTTCCAAAATGGACTAGGAAAGCTGGCTGATGGGGTGAGTCCTGGTTTGTGGGTATCATGGTAATCTGCCTCCTTCACCCACAGGCCCCTTGAGGGAGAAGCCTGACTTTGTTTCTGTCCCTGTGACTTGGTTGAGTGGTGAGGACTTGATCAGCTGAGGCCTGCACCATTCAAAACCTGGTGCCCCACACGCATCAGAGCCGATAATGGCGTGTAATTACTAGTAAGGCGTCCCGCCTAGCCTGGCACAACAGCAGGGACCCTGCGGACCCCCAGGGAYAGCTTGATGACTTTTCTGGCTAAGTCACGGATGGTTTCCACCCACCCCCAGCAGGAGCCCCTCTGATTTCTCAACTCCTGGGGGTGCCAGCTCCCCTTGCCAATGTGCAGCCCTCTGTTTTCCAAAATGCAAGAGGGAGCAGCACCACTGTTTGGGAAAGAGAAACGCCTCACGGCTGAGGCCACCAATGGCCAAGTCCCTGGGGATGCGCATCCTGGCCTGACCTGTGCTTGCAGCTCCCAAAAGAGAGGCCAGCGGGGATACAGGCTGTGGGTGAGAAGGGGTAAATCACAGCTGAGGGCCAGCTGTGGGGTTCAGACCGCCCTGCAAAAAACAGTGACCCACATCCTATGACCTTATAGAAATCAAGGGGCCCCCTAACAGGCTGGGTGGAGAATTAGGGATGCACCAGGGCAGGTCCAACCATCCACAAAGATCACAGTTATAGTAAGAATCTCCGTGCAGCAAAAAGAGCCCCATGTCTTGCTTGGAAGTGAATCCCAAGTCCCAGCTGGTGTGACCAGTCCCTGTATCTGGGGACAGCTATGGAGGGTTTGAGACCACATGGAACCCACTGGAGTTTCTCAGCTCAGGCTGACACCTTACTGTGACCCTGATTTTCTGGTGTTCCATGTAGAGCAGCAGGTACTCAGCAGGCATTTTTTGAACGTGACACTGAATGACTGGATTATTGAACGGTTCTGGATGGTTTGCTGGGGTTCTGTTGGGAAGGGGTGTAAGTCTCATGCCATCTCTCCCCATTCCTTTTATTTGGTGCTGGTGTAAGGGAGGTGGTGCTCCCTGAAAATGATGAATAAAGTCGGGGCAGCAGGTAGAAGGAGGGGGCATGGCAGGGGTTGGGAGAAGCAGGTGTAGAGACCATGGCAAAAGGGACACGTCTGAAGCTTATTCAACTTGGCCAGGAAACAATTCAATTTGAAGGAGTTGAGTTTGAGGCTCATCTGGATCTTGGGGTAGGCTGACTTGTTGGGGCTCATTAGGGAAAGAATAGGGCTCTGCACCAGGCACAGCAAGATTCAAGATCAGACCCAGACCCTCCTGGCCATCCTTCCTTCTTACCCTGCTCCTCCCATCTGGGGCCAGGACTTGATTTCTCCAAAGAGCACTGTGACATTTATCATGGGCTCCAGAACTCTGGTGCAGTTTGCAAAATGGATAGGTTTCTCTCTCACCTTCCTTGTCATTTCCCTACTGAAGCCCATGAGATTAAAGACAGCAACCTTGGAGCTCCACAACAGAAAGAAATGGCCAGAGAAAGGGGCACGTTTCCCACCCAAATCACCCAGGAGCCAGGTGCCAGCGCCTCAAGTGTCCATGTGGGCCAGGGACCCGGGGCAGAGCTGAGGCTCACCTGTAGGCGATCCTTGCTTCGACTGTGAGTCCACCTGGGCTGCCCCAGGCTTGAAGGAGAGCGTCTTTGTTCCCTGCTGCTTTTCCAGCTCCCCTGAGGAAGGTAGAGGCCATGAACAGACAGGAACCCTAAATTCTACCCCACAGAGGTGAGCAAGGAAAAGTGGGGAGAGCCGGAAGAGGACTAGGAGAGCCCTACTACATGCTACAGGGAGGGACCTTAGGGTCTGGCATGGCACTCAAGGTCCAGTTAACTCTTCTCTGGGGCCACAGTCTCATCTGTACATCAGGATGGCAAGATCTGCTGGAATGCCAGAGGGGCAGCGGAAGAGGCTAGTCTGGGGAAGGTGAACTACCTGAGCTGGAATCCTGGCTCTGGCGCTCCCTAGCTGTGTGACGTTAGGTACGTTATCTTAGCTTTCTGTGCCTCTCTGCAGGGAAGACAAAGTCGGTAATATCTAGTCCATCCATGTGTATCTGGAAGAACTGAGCTCACCCCAGCTACTGGGCTTCTGCAGGTGCTCAAAGCTCTCTCTCAAGAAGGAGATTCCGCCTACCTGGGCATCTGTAGGGCTTGCACAGCCCGTGTGGCCATCTATCTTGGCATTCCACTTTAATGCCTCTCCCTGGACTGGAAACTTGTTCCATCTCGTTCTCCCCGTGGTGTTAGAAAACTGCCAGTCACCATCACTGGAGATCCGACAGTCATTATTAAATAACTCCTCCAGCTTCTCTGTGCCAGGAGACATAACTCAAGTTCCTTTTATTAAAGCTGCTCTCCTGGGTTCCATTTTCTGTCTCTCTGGTTGTCTAGAATCCAGGGACACTGAACTGAAAGCCCCCAAACCAGAATAATCTGTCCCGATTGCCTGAATCACAACATCCATCAATACTTCATATTTTTACTGAACTGAGAATTGTTGGAGAGTTCCAGAGGGCCTTCTGGGCTTTGGAGAAATTAGCATCATAATTACATACAAGAAGTCTGCAGAAACTGGGTGCCGCGCTTGCTGTCACTTACCTTGAGAACTTGGACACCTTCCTTAAGCTCTATTAGCCTTAGTTTCCTTGTTTTAAAAATGAGATTAATAGACACCCATGGAAAGTGGTTGTGAAAACTGATAGGCTCTGCCTACAGCCCAGTGCCTGGCATGCAGTGATGCTCAATTCATGGTAGCGGCTTCTGGCTTCCATTTTCTCTTTCGCTTTCTGACTTCCTCTCCTGCCTGCCCCATGGCCAGCCTATCATCTCTCCTCCCTTTGTCTTCACCTGAAGACCGAAAAAGGAGCCTAAGCCTTTCTCCCTGCTCCCTTGGCCAGCAGGAGGGGATGTTCCCCTCTGGACACAGCAGATCCTGACAATATCAGCTCCTCAGTTGCTTTGGGAAGGGATTTACAGGCTGCCCCACAGCTGATGGGAAAAAAGATGTCTCTTCCAGCAACTGCTAGTGCTGGGAGTGTGCAATGGCTCCCCAGGGCAGTGTGGAAGCCACCTGAGATGTTTTGACCATAAGAGACGTGAAACATCCTTGAGAATGTTCAAGAACAACAGCTAAGGTGGCCTCCTGGGTATCCACTCCAGCCCCTGAAAAGAGTCAGTTTGTGACAGCACAGAACTCAAATGAGCAAACACTGCAGAAAGGAATGTGCATGTATTTAGCCCCACCATGCAGTGACCTAAGCTATATCTGGTGGTTTTTGTTTTACTCTGATTTCAATTATTTTCTTAGGAAACTATAAACAGAACGTCTTCTCCCAATCAGAGTAGCAAGAACAAGAACCTTGAAACCAGACTTAAAATGCAAATGCCAGTTCCTCCACTTCTCATAGACATGACCTGGACATACTAATTCCTCCTCTGAACCTCATCTCTAAAGTGGGACAAATACCTCTGTCTTCAAGGTCACTGCAAGGAATAGCAGAATATAGATAAACTGCCTTGCACCTAGCAGGTGTTCCAAAAATGATGCCCTGTCATATTGACCCCTTGCTCAAAACCCCTCACCTGGTGTAGCTCGGTGGTGGAGTGGTTGCTTAGCGTGTGTGTGTGTGAAGCCCTGGGTTCTGCTTGTGTGCACGCTCCAGTGTGCCTCATTTAACTGTACAGCCACACCCACATCAGCCCCATTTGTCCAGCAGCCTGCGGTGGTGCTGGGAGAGGCAGAGGTGGGGAGTGTGGGCGGGTCCAAAGTGGGGCAGGGGCAGAATGGGGCTGCTCCCAGGAGCAAGAGGCATGTCTGTCTATAAGCTGGCCTCACTGGCCACCTCAGGGAGTCCCAGGCCACCATTTCCTTACACTCTATCCGGATCTGCTCCAGTTCTGTCACCTCAGCGATGGACTCCTTCAGGTCCTCCACAAACTTCTGCATCTCATCAGAGCCCAGGGCACAGAAGTGCAGCATCTGCTTCTTCTCAGAGCCCGAGACGGGGGTCACCAGTGTGATGCCATGAGAGTAATCTGGAAACCAGCCCCAGGACCCCAAGGTTGTGAGCAACAGCAGCATCAAGGCTAGAGCCAGCCAGATGTGGGGAAGGGATGGAGTCTTTGGGTACTTGCCCCTTCACCTGCCCCCCCAGCCCTTTTCCCTCTACTTCCCCCACCCCCCCCCATGTGCCTGTCTCAGGGTCATTCATTCATCCTCAAGACTTATACTCCAGACCTGGGGATATAGCTCAGTTGGAAGAGTGCTTACCTGGCATGCACAAGGCCCTGGGTTCAATCCCCAGCACTACCACCAAAAAAAGGGGGGGGGGACTTACACTCGTTCTCAAAGAGGTGGAACTGCATGCCCAGCAGGCCGACTGACTTGCAGAAGGTGTATGTGGAGGAGCTCTTCTTTTTGGGGCACAGTTTGAGAATCTGCCAAGAAAGGAACAGGAAAATTTACTGACTACAGTGGATTCCTGACAACGTGCATATGCACACACACATGCATCAAAACCCAGGGACACTTGTGAATACATCAATCAACCCACAAACACACACACACACACACATACATACACGTGCATGCGTTCAAGATATATTCACACACATATATACATGTACAGATATACATGTGTGCTTTTCACTGATGAAAACCTACYTGTGGCTGTTGCCTCTGCACTTAGAAGCCAGTCCCCATTTCCTGCCCTTGCCTGTAAGCCTTACTGGATCTGGCCACTGTTTACACTGGCTTTATGCAGGAGCCACACTGTTCTCCTTTCGGCAGCCTGAAAAGGGGCAGCTCAGAGCCTTTGCACATGCTGTTCCCTTTCTATAGTTCCTCCTGCAGCTTTCTGTGTGGCTGGATTACCCTTATTACTTAGGTCTTGACTCAAATGCTACTTCTTTAGAGACCTTCCTGGATCATCCTATGTAAAACATAAACCAAAAGCAAACCGAAGGCCTCTCCCTTGACCTCAGTCTCTCTGACCTGTCACCCTATTTTATTGTCTTTGTAGCACCTTACTGCCATCTGATATTCTTGTTCATTTATTTGCTTAATTGTTTTCTCTCTCCCTCTCCTACTAAAATGAAAGCTTAGCCAGCCAGTTGCTCAGTATAGAAGTATTTTATTAGCACCTCCTCTGAACTGGGCTCTGGGAATACAGGTGTTATGGTTTGGACGTAAGGTGTCCCCCAAAAGCTAACAAGTGAAACAATGTAAGAAGGTTTAGAGGAAAAATGATTGAGTTGTGAGAGTCTTAACCCAATCAGTGAATTAATTGCCTGATGGGGATTAGCCGAGTGGTAACTGAAGGAGGGTAGGATGTGGCTGGAGGAGGTGGGCATTGGGGGCATAGCTTTGAGGTATATATTTTGTATTTAGGAGTAGAGCCTCCCTCTCTGCTTCCTGATCAGGTGAGCTCTTCCCTCTGCCATTCTCTTCTCCCATGAGGTTCTGTCCCAGGAGGTTCACTCTGAGGAATGGAGCCGGCTGTCTGTGGACTGAGCCCTCTGAAACCATGAGCCCCCAAATAAACTTCTCCTCCCCTAAAATTGTTCTGGTCAGATCTTTTATTCACAGCAATGAAAAAGCTGACTAAAACAACAGGAGGGCACAAGACAGTGCCCCTGCCCTCCAGATGTGATGCTGGAGGAAGACAGTCAAGATGTAATTCAATCAATCCATAAAGCCTAGTGACGAAAGGGGTAAAGAAGGTCATTTCAGAAAATGGTGTTTTGAAGAAAATGAAACAGGATAAGGAACAAAAAGGGACCGGGCAGTCTGCCTTGCTTGGTGGGCAGGAGGGTCTACCTGGGGAGAGGTATTTGAACTGAGATGGCATAGAGAGGGCGACCACCACACCAAGGTCCAGTGGAAGTGAGGGAGCAGCCAGAAGACAGTCCTGGTTGGTGGGAGCAGCCCCAGGAGTGTGTAGGAGATGCAGTCCAAAGACCTGGGCCCTCCCCTGACCCGGGGCGGCCGTCTGGAGCCCAGGTGGGACCTGATGTGCACTCTAAAAAGATGGCATCACAGCTCTGTGGAAGGAGGCCTTYGTGGTGGGGTGCTGGTGGGCAGTGACTGTCCCCTAGGGGAGGCGCTTGGGGTGGGACTGACGTGGGGCAGTGGAGGAGTGAGAGGGGATGCCCACGAGGCTCTGAATAGAGAGGATGAGGGTGGTACCACGGGAAGACATATCTTGTTGAAAACCTGCTCACCCCAGTTTCTGGGCACTTAGAACATGCCTGGCACATAGTGGACACTGATGAAAGATCTGGTGACTGCATACTTGTTTTCAAAAAGCAAAGAACCCCTCAGTCGTGTGTATGTCTGTGTATGTGAGCAGGATGCTGTGCACCCCCCACCCACCCAGCTCTCCCCAGACCCAGGCGTAGCACATGCTCCAAGTGGGCCCACGGTCCCTGCCGGGCCTGGAGACGTGGAGCACATTGCTGGGCTCCCCTGTCCCAGGATTTTTGTAACATGGAAAGGCAGATGGTTTGGGGTCTAGTTCACTGCCACCTGGGTGTGTAACCACGAACAGATCATTTAATGTCTCTCTGCTTCCACTTACAAAGTCGGAAGGGTCACATTCTCCTGAGCTACCTCACACCCACGATGTGTAAATGCCAGGAAAACGGTGACTCAGTCACGGAGTGGAGAGCATTCTGTCTGCGAGCTCTGGGCGCCCCCCTCCACTTCAGAGTCCCAGTGCAGACTGAGCCAGGAGGGGGGCCTGGGCAGCTTCAGCCCCGCCCCGCCCGGCCCGCCCGTCCTCTMGGCTCACCACCAGCAGGTCGTTGAAGAGGAACACCTCTCTCTGATGCGCCGCCTGCTTCTGCAGCTTGTTCACGTCGGTCACCTCGAAGAGCCGGCTGCAGCAGACGAGGCGGCGGTGCGGCACCGACAGCACCTGGAACCCAGGCGCCGGCTGAGCCTACCCCGCACCACCTCTTCCCTACCCCGCACCCACCTCTTCCCTACCCCGCACCACCTCTTTCCGACCCCGCACCAACTCTTCCCTACCCCGCACCACCTCTTCCTGACCTCGCACCCACCTCTTCCCTACCCCGCACCCCGCTCCATTTTCCAGCAGAGGAGCCGACTCAGGTAGAGGGGATGCCCTTCTGCCATTACAGCAGGGCCTGCTCTTGACCCTTAAACCTCTTCTCTCCTCATCTGGGGCCTTTCCCTTCGTGGCACTTCTCCGGGAGCAAAGCCAGAGGAGAAGGGGTGCATGATGCTAGAGGGAGTGAGGAGATTAAGGAGTGGGGAAAAGAACTCCAAAAGAGCCATCAATTGTTGGCATCCAGCCACTGTCAACATTTTCCATTCTGTGACCTTAAGGGCATCCCCAAGTTCCAGGCTGCAGCTTGTATGTATGACGCCTCCACCTCTTTCTCTACTGCACACCCAAATGCAGGTGTGCAAGAGTGAGGAGATTACAAGGACCCACGAACCTTCTCTAGTGACTAAGAGAAGCAAACCATTTACAAACCAGACAGAGGCCTAAGACCTCAGCCACCAAGGCGCTAAAGCAGACTGGGAGGGGGAGTCTAACAGAGCCCTGGAGGAGGCCCCCAAGTTCTCCAGCCTGCTCCCCAAGCCAGCCATTCAGTCAGGAGGGACTGGAACCTGCTCTTCCTGCTTTATATTCATGGTATAAAGCACTTCTGTGCCCATGTGAGGAGTGCTGTAATCTACCCAGGATGCTCACTTGAAAAATCGTTGCACAAACTCACATTAGCTAAGTTATGGAACCAACTCAGGTGCCTGTCAATAATTGAATGAATTAAGAAAACGTGGCATACATACACAATGGAGTTTTACTCAGCCATAAAGAATGAAATCACGGCATTTGCCAGTACTTGGATAGCACTGGAGGACATCATGCTAAGAAATAAGCCAAACTCAGAAAAATCAAGGGTTGAATGTTTTATATGTGGAAGCTAGAGCAAAATAAGGGGGAAAATGGGAGCGGGGAGAGTCCGATACCAGAAGAATAGAGGGAAGACCAGTGGAGTAGGAGGAGGAGGAGGAGGGGGGAGGGGAGGAATGGGAAGGAGAAGGAAATGTGGAATGTATTTGACAAAATTATACTGTGCATGTATAAATAGACCACAGTGAATTAAAAATATCATTACACACTTGGAACACATTGCCTGTGACACAGGTTACAATGAAGGGGCACCTCCATGGTTTGAGGCACCAGTCTATAGCCCACTTCCAGGAATTCCTGGTATCCATGCCATCCTGGAAAGGGATTCTAAACTTCTCCATCTGGCCATTCAGATACTTCAACCTTATACCACAGGGCAGTCCTTCTTGACATCTCACCGTAGTCTGTCCTGCTGTGGCAGCTGGTGGCAAGAGGCAATGTGGATATGATGCAATGGAAAGAACAAGGCGCAGCACCCAACACACAGTGAATGGATAACAGAAAAGTGTTTTTAAAAGGTAAGGAGGAGAGTGGGAGGAGATGTTAGGAAGAAGGAAAGGAAAGGAGATGTGAGATAGGGGTGGCTTGGTAGCCATGGGAGAGGAAACCAAGTCCCACATGCTCCGTGGTGGACACTTACTGTCTTCATGCCCACAATGGACTTCTCCACCTTGGTGACATAGGTGACATGGTCCTCATTGGACTTGAGTTCCTTCTGCTGAATCCTCTCGTAGATGCCTACTACCAGCTCCCTGGGGATGTCAGCACCGTCATCCACACCTGCCAACAGGGAGGGGGAGCAGGAGGAGAAGAGGGAGGGGACGGTGGGGGTCAGCGCCCTGGACCATGGGGACAAACCTTACCAGACAAGCTCAGGGAGGGTGGCCCTGCTCTTGTCAGGCCCTGCTCCTGTCTCTGTTCCAAAGCCTTTAAGAGCTGGTTCCCATCCTCTTTCAGGACACACTATGAGGGTGTGGTCCCACGGCATCTCCAGGGTCATCTGCTGACGTGTTCAGTCAGAACCTCCACTCTCACCTGGCAGGACCCTTTCCTGAGGGCCCAGTACAACCTCCATGTTCCTGCTCAGTGTCTTTGCTTCTGTGGTCCCTCTGCCTTCTGAGGGTCTGTCTTGACCTCCCCCAGCCCCACCCCAGGAGCATCTTTGGGATGTTCTGTCTTGTTCTCTTTAGGATCTCCCCCCCCAGGCCCTCCCCTCCAGATGGGAGTATGTGGTTGAGTGATCTTTGTGGAAGGGGTGACAAGATTCTCCCCTCACTGGGAGCTTTGGAGGGGGGCGGGGGACAGGCAGCAAAGAGAAGCTGGTAGGTGGCCTGTGGTGACGCAGGTGATGAGGCCCTCCACCCCGGCTCCTAGGTCCCCGTGAGGTCCACACTATTTCTATTTCCTGTCCTAGCAGGAAATAGACCCACGTGGAAACGATTTTCTTTTGGAAATAGAAACAGGAAGTAAGAAATATTTCTTCTTTCTATTTTCCCCAACTCTTTCTTAGTTTTCTTTTCTTTTTTTTCCCAACTCTTTCTTTAATGTCTACATGCTTCTTTTATAAGAGGGAAGAATTAAAAATAGAAGGACTTTGGCGAAGGCCCTCAAAGGAGCTTTCCCAACTACTGAGAGGACGTCATGCCTTCTAACTCCCTGTCTTGTCATTCCTTCTTCCATGTCTGATCTTGGTTTTTAAAGTCAGGCAAACAAGCGCTGCAGCATCCCAGGGGCCTGAAGAAATCAGGCTGTGGGTGAGAAAGAGCAGGAACACAGGTTCTCAGTTCAAGACGACCTCGATGCTCTCTGGATGCCCAAAAGGCCTAGATCCACTAAGACAGACAAGGGACAGAGCACCCTGGGGTCTGGCAAGTGGGTGAATAATGGGGTGGATTAGCAAACCTCAGACAGCTGAAACCTAAACTAGCAGAGGTTAGAAGCCACCCAACATCCCACAGGTGGCAAAAGGAACTGGTGGCAACAGGAACCCCAGAGAGTGAAGTGGAGGTGAACTGGAGATCAACACAGTTGGAAAATGAGCTAGACAGCTGTCCTGTCTCCTCCTCTTTTGAGCAGATGACTGGTACTAAATCCTGAAGAAGGGCTAAACCAGGAATTTGGGGCTGGGGCAACTCAATCCCAGCCAGGGGTGGGACTCAGTGCTGAAAACAGGAAGATGAGGTTGATATCTACGTATTGAGAGACCTTGACCTCATTTCCCCCAAAGATCTCAGAACACTGGCAGCCAGAACTGGACCCTCTGGGCCAAAGGTTGGACATTTATCTTCTGGTAAAAATCCACCAATAGAAAAGAAAATATCTACAGATACTGCAGTAGCAGGTGATCAGGGAGGAGCTTAACTAAATCACTTGCACCCACACAGCGTTAGATCAGCTTTTCAGTAGCTCCCTCTTGACTACAGACAACCACATTTCACCAACTACATTTGGAAGGTCTGTAACATAAAAGAGAAAGAAATAAAAGGATAACTGGAAAAAGGAACCCAGAAGGAACAGGCAAGCAGGTAGCCAGTAAAACAAACAAATAAGAGCATATGAATATCTTCAAAGAGCTACTAGAAGATATTCCAACTAGTAAACAGGAATAAAAATGCTATAAGAGAAGAACATTCAGAGAACCACAACAACAAAAAGTTACTGGAATTGAAAACAATAACAGTGGGAATGAAAAATTTGGTAGGGGGCTTTAAAGCTAAAGCTGAGGGACATCTTCCAGAAAGTCAATCAAGAAAACAATGATGGCACATAGCAAACTATAAAGATTAGAAGATCAAGTAGGAGACCCAATAACTGAATAACAGGAAGTGAAGAAAGTACAGAAAACATGGAGAAACTAAATGGTCAAACATGGTACAGTGTGTCCTGGTGTCCACGGGTTCTGTGTCTGTGGGCTCCACCAACAAACAGAAATATTTCTAAAAACCTGCATCTGCCCTGAATATGTACAGACTTTTTCCTTGTCCTTATTCCCAAAACAGTGCTATGTAAACAGCAAGACCACTATTTGCATTGCATTTGATATTATAAGTAACCTAGAGGTGAATTCAAGTGTATGGGAGGATGTGCCTCGGTTTTATACAAATACCACACCATTTTATATATAATTCACAAGGCACTTGAGCATCTGAGGGGTATCCTGGGAAGCAATTCCCTGTGGATTAACAATATTTAGTAAATATAAGAGATAATAATATTTAAGAGAACCTTACACATTTGGAGGATGTGTGTTTTTAGGCTGTAAAGACTAACTCAGTACTGAGCACAGTGGGTGGAAACAGAACCCTAGCAAGGAGCATCATTATGAAAATTGAAAACATGAAAGGCAAACAGAAGAATCAACAACTTTTCAGAAAGAGAGAAAAAGAGTGTGTAAAAAAGGCCAGGAATTCAAACAGCAGAGCAGCACTGTCAGCTAAGGCATGATGGCAAAGTTTCAACATTCTCATTTACCTGTTTCCTTCTGGAATTCTGTTCCCAGCAAACTCCCAATCAAAGGGACAAATAGAAACAGGTATATTTGAAAACGCAAGTTTTCAAAAATGTTTTTCTCCAAGATGCCTTTTCTTTGAAAGTCATCTAAAAATTAGGAAGCTATGATATTCAGGAACAAGGAATCCAGCCCAGGAGACTTCTAGATGATGGCTTGTGGCTGGCCTGGCCCAACAACCATCCAGATAGAGCAGAAGCAGAGGCCCTGAGACACAGCTGCAAGAGGATGGGAGTCCCGGGGTTCCTCCCAGGTTTGTGTGATTGACAGGAATTGGATAATCAGGGGCAAGGACAGGATGGACTGGTGGCAGGTATCTAGAGAACTAAGGAAATGGAAAAATAATACAAGTACTGACTCCAAGGAAAATATAAATGGGAAAGAATCATAACTCAGGTTTTCACTGTGTGTAGCCAGCCTCCCTAAGGTGAACACTGCTTTTAATGGGGATGGTGTGGGGAAAGCAGATGGACAAGAGCTAAATTCTGAAGTTGTATAATGGGAAATTAAAAGATAATGCTTAAAAAATTTAAAAACTAATGAGCAATAGTGTTTAAGAGAAGCCAGATACCAATATGTATATGTGTGTATTTATGCACATATGTGCACACATCTGTATCTATCTATAAATATCTCTCTCTCTCTCTCTCTCTGTATATATTTCTTGTCTAACCTAATTTATATAAAGTTCAAGGACTGGCAAAATAACGGTGCTAGAAGGCAGAATAGTGTTCATCTTAAGCTTAGGCAAGTGTATCTAATGGGATGCAACATAAGAATGTTCTGRGATGATGTAAAAATCAGTATGTGGATACAGGTGCAATCACACAGGCGTCTATGAAGATAAACAGTCATCAAGCACTCAGATTTACATACCTTGTATAGTATGTACTTTATACCAATTAAAAAAAGGAATAGAAAAAAAGAAGCAGGACAATGTTACTTATTGATATAGAGGGAACACAAAATAAATAGCTAATAGGTGCTTGCTTAGCATATATGAGGTTCTGGGTTCCATCCCCAGCAGCACAAAATAAACAAACAGCTAAAAATGTTGAAAGTGTTTGCCCCTGGAAAAGAAGAAAGATGAGATGAGCAAAAACTAATTTTTTTCTGTAGTGAGTCCTATAGAATTATTTTGATCTTATTAAATTATATGCAAGTATAACTTTGATTTTTTTTAAATGCCAAAAAACATCAAAGGACTTGGCTGGCAGATGCTGTACAGCTGCCTGCAARGTTGAATAAAATGGACCCAGGACCTGAAGGCCCTGTTCCTGGCTCTTCTCTCTCCTAAGTTGTGGAGTGGGGAAGGGCTGATGCCACCCAGGTGCCCACTCTGGTGCCCGGGACCTACAGGCCATCCAATGGAGAGTATTCACATTGCCCAAGGGTCTCTGCTGCTTTGAAGATGAGCAAGCAACCTTCCCAGCCTGCCCTGGGTGACCAGACCCTGAGAACAGGTGACAATCTACAGTTTGGTCTCCGACTCAACAGAATCAACGATGAACTGACCTGGCCCCCACCTCCTCACCTCGCAGGTTCCGGATAAAGTCCTCCAGCATCATCTTCCGGTCAGGCTTAATGTTGGGGCTGTACATGTCGGTGTTGAGGAGGATGATGGCAAAGGCCAGGATGAAGATGGTGTCGGGGTTGTGGAACTGCTGCACCACCTCAGGGTTGCACATGCAGTAGCGCTGGCTGTGGTGGGGGAGACGCAGGGTGGCACCGTGAGCTTCCTAAGCTCCAGCAGTGGGGACTGTCGAGGGGATGACCCAGCTGCCCGAGGGCTTTGGGCCCAGGGAGATGATGGTCTGCCCCATATGGAAGTCCTCTTCCCCGCTGAGAGGACAGGCTAGCAGCACTGCTCCCCAGGTGCCCCCCAGGACCAGCCTCACACAGATGCTCAACACCAATGTGCTGGCTGGTGGGGACGATCGACGGGCAGTCCATCTGGAGGGCCCCACATTGCTTCCAGCTTAGAGGGCTCAAAGGGTTCGGCCCCCCTTGTTTCCTTTCCTCCTTTCCCTCCAGCCCACCCTCATGCTGCCTCAGAAGCACCTCTGGTCTCTGCAGTCCCAGCAGCTCTGCTTCCCCACCCACACTCCCAGGCTCTAGGCACATGCGAAGGGGGAAGGGTCCTACCTGAAGGCCTCTATGAGCCGCTCCACCTTCTGGGCCTCCCCCTGCACACGGATGTGAGCCTGGAACTTCCGCAGGGCCTCATCCAGCTCCATGCTGGAGAAGTCCATCTCATCCACCACGCAGCTGAGGGCAGGTGGAAGGAGGGGTGGTGAGGACAGGTGGGGACCTTCTGCTGTACTTGAGTTTCGGGATGTACAGCCAGGGCCCTCTGAAGTGGGCAGGAAGGATGGACATAGGGTCTCCCAAGCTCACTTCCCCTCAGGAGTCTTCCAGGAATAACCCAAGAGCACAGTGTTTTCGTACCTCCTCTCTACCAATACAACAGCCCCGTCAGGCAGGCCACAGGCTGTAACCTCCATTTCACAAGCCAGAAACCTGAGGCGCAGAGCAGTCAGCCGGTGCCCAAGGCCGCAAAGGCAGGGGGAGGCTGAAGTCAGACCCTCCTACTCCAAGTCCCAAGAGCCCAGAGTGAAAGCAAGCTTAAAAATGGAGTAACAGCTGTGGCCTGGAGTCCCAACGAGGCAGGAGGCTAAGACAGGAAGGAGCACTTGAGTTCAGCAGTTTGAGACCAGCCTGGGAGATAGAGTGAATAAATAGAAGGTATTTTTCTGATCTTTCAAAGACCTGTTGGGGAACCCCAGTTCTCAGGGGAGTCTTGTTGGGTAGGCTGGGACCCCTGATTTAATGTGGGATGGGGCACTGTGACGCACAGAGCCAGGTTCTGGTCCTGGTCCTTGGCTGAGCTTTTTGTGACTTGAGTTAATGGACTCCCCCCTTTTAAGCCTCAGTGTGTTCTTCTGAAGAGGGAGGAGGTCAGAGTCCCTGCTCCCCCAGGGACTTTCCACCTGAAATGCCACTCGAAACCTGAAGGGTTCCTCGAATGTCCCATTGCACTGAGTAGTGGGAAGAGGAGTTGGGGACATCCACCAATCCCCCTGCTTCATAGTGGTCTCATTTTTCTGGGCTGGATCACTCCCAGGGGCCTCCTCAGCCCCTACACCCTGCCTTGTCCTCCTTGGGCGTGGTCCCATGGGCCTTGCTCACCGAGGCCCGGCAAAGCTGCAGACCTCCCCTGAGCATCTAAGCATCGTTCCTCCCCTCAAGCTGATAGCAGAGCATGAGGCGGTCGTAGCTGCTGACAGACTCAGAGCTGTCTTTCCCTCTCCCCCCCCCCCCCCCCCATTTCTCTCCTCCCTGCTGGCTCCTTACAGCCTTGACCCCCAGTTCCCAGTGCTACCATGTGGCTGGGCAGGACTCCAGCCCCCCACACCCTTGGCCAACTCCAAGGCAGTATCTAAACCCCAGGCACTAATCACCTCTCACAGTTCCTTGGCCCTCCAGGGTGTGCCCATGGCTACAAGCACGTGATTCAGTGCACAGCACACCCACCAGTGGCTCAGAAAACATCTGCAGAGTGGCCACGCAAGGGGTGGGCTCTGAGCAGGACCCACGTTCTCCATGTTCCTAGAAGACCAACAGAGCCCAACTCTGGTGTCAGCTGTCCAGAGAAAGCAAGGGGAGTTGCCACAGGGCATCTTGGTGGGCTTGGAGTCTGCCTCCCCCACTTCTTTCAGGGGCAGGGGTTAAAAAGGAGTGCGTGTCACCAATGAGTTCTAAAGAGGGAAGGTAGGACTGAGAAGTAGTTAGAGGCTTCTCTCCTTCCTGACCAAGGGCAAGGCCATGACCATGATCTGCTAGCTGCAAGCTCCCCTTGCTTGGCGGGAGGCCTGCTCTTCTCAGGCTTGTCTGCCTGGTTAGGAATCGGGGAGAGATGGGCTGGGAGCTGGAGGCAAGAACCTTGCCTGAGCATAAGAACCAAAAATGTCAGTATGTGGGCACTGAGGGATGACTGGGCAGGTCCAGCCAGGTGAGAGGACACTCCAATTTCCCGGTGGCTCCCGTTACCTCACCCTGCACCCTCCCCAGCTGTAATACGGCTCTGAGGACAGCACCATCAGGCCCACACGGGTGAGTCCCCACTGCCCAGTCCAGCAGGGGATGGTTGAGCACCACTGAGCCACAGAGCAAGGCTTTTCTGGAAGAGACCCGCAGTGATGGAGACCAGATCCAAGGAGAAGAGAGGAAGCAGAGAACAAGAAGATGATGAGACAGACAGGGAAAGAGAAAAGGAAAGCTAGAGAGTGAAAGAGAGAAGCAAGGAAGAAAAGGAGGGAGAAAGATCAACTTAAAAAGGGGGAGACAGCTGGGGGAGAGGGACAGAGTGAGAAAGAGAGAGGGAGAGAGAGAGAGAGAGAGAGAGAGAGAGAGAAAGAGAGAGAGAGAGAGGATTTAGATGAGGAGGACTGAGGAGGGTGGGCCAGGGCATGAAGCAGAAGACAGCCACATTGTGTCCTCTCACCCCAGGATCCCCGACACCTAGGAGGCCCAGCAGGATGACAGCGGGCCCAGCCTGGTCAATGCAGACCAGCAAGCCTGGCTCCTTGGAGGGTTCCCAGGATGACCCTTGGCCCCTGTGGTCTGGCACCCAGCTGCTCCCCACGACTGGCTCCCATCTGTCCATCTACCCTCCCAGCCTCTCCCCTGCCCTTTCCCTGTGGGCTCCTGAACTGAGGTCTTGGTTTCTCTTCCCTCCTCTAGATCCCACCCTCCACCCCGCCTCTCTCCATGTTCCTTCTGCCCCAGAGCTCTGGATCAGTCCTTCCCCTGCAAAAATAATGACAGAGGTGGGTGCTGGAGGCCAGGGCACCATTGGGGGAGGTGGCGGAAGGAGGTRGCAGCTGGAGAGGGTGGGATCTGCTCAGTCAAGCACGATGGCCTAGTTTCCCGTCCTCCACTCAGGTGACATGTAGCCGGTTTGCACGCTCACCCGCCTGGGGCTGTGGTTAAAAGCTCCAGTAATGAGCCAAGAGCCCTGGACCAAAGGCTGGGCTGGGAGATCAGCCAGGTGGAAACACCCACCACAAAACAGGGAGTGCTGGGTTAATCCTTCCTGGGCCTGTGGGCTGGGGGGACCTCAGGGGAGGACATCTGGGCTTCAGAGCTGGAGCAGCCTCTAATTCAGCACCTTCCAGTGCAAGGAGGTGAGAGGTCATGTGGGAGGGAGGAAAGGAAATATGGATGCTCGCAACACCCCCCCCCCCCATTCCTGCGTTCCTCTCTGACTACAAAACTGCCAAGTAAGGGAGGGGAAGGGCTGAGTAGTCTCTGTACTCCTCCCCAAGGCAAGCTGCTTCCTCTCGATGCAGAACCCACTTCCCAATTCTGACGTCCCCTAGCCAGAGCCCAGAGAAGGGCGAGCCCACAGCTGGTCTCTAAAGGTGCTATATGCTCCCCATGGTGCACTCTGTGTCCTCTTGGGGAAGGTGGCTGGGAGGGGACTGTGTGCCCCCCAGCGTGCTGCTCCTGTGGACCTTTACCTCAGGGTCTTGCTGCCTTGGAAGCATCATCAATCCTTGTCCCTCACAGCATGGTTCTTTTGGCCTCTCTCTCCTGTACCTTTCAGCCAGCACCTTGACCTCTTCTTCCTCTCTCCTCTTTGCTTCTCTTTCCATGGCTTCTATTTTGCAGCATCTAGCCCTTTAAACTCCACCCCCCTCCACCTTTCTTTCCTACCCTGGAATCCCTGTGGGGAGCAGACTGGTGACAGTTTATCAAATCCTTCCTACTTTGACCCAGGACAGTCACCTCTTCTTGTTGATCACCTTTAAGGCAAATAACATCATACATTCCAGGTGTCTTCCCTGGTTGGATTCTCTTTCCATTTTACAGAAAGGAAAACTGAGACTGCATAGGGACTTGTCCCACACTCCCACTACTAGAAAGCAGTCTTTCGGATCCAACTGGGCCCTCTAGGGTGCACCCCTGTGTGTCCACTGGGGCAGCATGTGGTCCAAATGCCAGTGGGAGGCTCTTGTTTAATGAGTGTTGTTCTTAGTGCTTCACTAATCACACCATGACTTAATCTCCTCAAGCCTGTGCAGTATTAGCCATTTTCAGGAAACTGATGCTCACAGGGGAGTCGGCCCTGCAGGGGGACTGCACACATCACATTCCTTGTGGGCATCTCCTGGTCGAAGCAGGGCTGCCTCTCCCACTTCCCACTGCTCTCTGCAGCTCARTGGCTGGTGCTAATGTGTCTCTCCCTGGGGGCTGCCATCTTCCCCAGATGCCTGGTGGGGGCCTGGGAGGAATTCAGGAGGTATGTTCCAACACAGTGTGGAGGCTGATTCTTGGTGTGTGAGGAGGCATTTGTCCATCGGTAGCCAGCAGGAAGGCTGTGTGGGCACCTGCAGTTCAGAGCTGGCTTGGGCACACAGCCCACGGCAGGGGCTCCCACCTCCCTACTTCTGGAACTTTTCCTGACCCTGGGAGTGGCTGGCTGGCTGGCTGTCTTTCAATGAACACGCATTGAGTGACTCCTGAGTGCAAGGGTGGGCAAAAAATACAAACACAGTCTCCGTCCTGGGAGAGAGACAGACATGAAATGAAGAGTTGAAAATAATTCTTTATATGTGTGATGAGTTCTATGCAGAGAAAGGGCATGGTTCCATGAAAGGATGAAGCAGAGATTATTTTATATTGCTGTGTCCTTAAAGGCCTCTTGGGGGACATGACATTTTGGCTGAGATCTTAAAGATATGTAGGGTTGAACAGGAAGAGGAAGCATATGCCAAGGCCCCGTGGTAGGAAAGAACTTTCAAGTACCTATAAAGGGTCAATGAGAATGCAGTGCAGAGTAACAGGGAGAATGGAGGACAGTGAGACTATGCAGGTGGGCATTTCTCTCATGGCCTGCAGAGAGAGATCTTAGAGTTTATCCTAAATGTGGTGGGATACAGTGGCAGGGAATGATCAGGGCAGTGACGTGATCCATTTTTTAAAGATTTCTCTGGTTGTTGGGCAGAGAATGAATGAAAGAGATGAAGCAGAGAACAAGAATGAGCTGGACCCTGAGTCAGGACGCTACAGCAGAGATCCAGGCTAGAGGTGATGAGGCTTAGGTCGAGACACAAGCAGCAGAGACAAACTGAGTGCTTGATCCAAGCAACCTCTTAGGTGATAGGAACGTGGGAGGGTGGAAAAGGAGGAGTCAATGGATCTCAGAGTTCGGGCTTCACTGGGAGTCCGGAGATGCTACTCCCAAAGATGAGTACATGGGGTGG